TCAAACAAAACCTACATTTTCTTCCTCTCTTCATATGCAACTTTTGGCTTATTTAAACATTAATGTTTAATTATGCCTTTATAAGATCACTGAATGGCACACTTGCCCAGTAATATTGTTTCCAAATTGAATTGTGACTATAGATGTAAATCAAATGGGTGGAGAGGTTGTTTTGATTGTTGTTTTTACAGAAAGAATTTGAATGGTGAATCTTTACTCCCCCTCTCCATCTTTGTTAATGCAACAGAATCCTGCTTTTCAAAAAAAGTCCCTAGCAGCTACATAGCAATTTGTCTGCTGACAACTCAGCCATCACCCTCTTTACATAAAACACATTTACAATAAAATCAGTATGGATTTCATTAGCTGAAAACCTCCTCGAATTTCATTTCTTTGGCCCTAATCTATAATTAGTGTGGACAGACAGGTGCAAGCCCTTCTCTTCTACAGATGGCCACTGGAAACGGTGCAAAGGAGCTCCTTCTGTTTAAACAACACAGAGATAACCTGCTCTGCTCTTATCACTTACAATTACCTCCATTAAACTGAACTAATGTTTACTTTAATAAAATGTCCACTGTTCTTTAAACAGTATTTAGGAACTTTTATATCCACAGTGAAAAAGGTAAGGATGGAAAATTTCTTTTTAGATTATGACCATTTTTTGAAGTTAAATTGCTCATCAGGAGCTAATCCCTTTGGATTCACAAAGGTATCTGGATGATTTTTGTACACCTGTTAGTTATGTTGAAAGTTATGTACTTCTTTTATTATTAAAAAGGGCTTTTTAAGTACCTATATAATACTTTTGCCTTTTTATTTATGGAATCTTGCTATTTTAGTTAAATTTGGAAACAAGGAGTGTACAGTCAAGTCAATATATATATTTACACATGTAGTTGGTTATTAAGCCCTATAACTTTCAAAGCCTCAGTTTTTCAAACTTATTTTAAATGCTTAATTTTAATTGGTGTTCATACTTAAGGGAGAATTATCTGGAGTCTTAAACTCTATCAGTATATGGCATTTTTTTAAAATTAAGCAAACTATAAAAGGAAGATATTCATTTTATATAGGTACTGCTAAAACAGCTAACCAAAATCAAGTGTACCTCCCTCAGTTTCAGCTATGACTCACTTCAGGATGACTGATAGCACAAAAAAATTTTTAAAAATCGCAAACATATTAATATCTCCTCTCACTCAGCTTACATAAATTACAGTAAAGAACTCCAACAAGATGAAAACTGACTTGTTTCTCCACATGCAAATCCTGCAGGTGCCAGTTTTTCAGAATGCTTTGCTAGCTAGGCTGCCTGCCCAGAGCCTCAATGAAGTGGGCTTTGCATTCAGTGCCTGTCAGCTGATGCTCTTATCAAAGAAGTGAGAAACAGGATTTGACAGAGGAGAATGTCCAGAACTGACAAGGCACTGACCAGCATTCCAGGTGGAGGCATTTTCCTCCCATTATGATCCCCCTTTTGCCATTTAATTTTTTTCAAAGCTTTCTTAGCTAAACTTCTATTTATAAACACCAAGCCTATTATGTGAAAGACCAATCTCCATTATTTTTATTTATTTGGAAGAGAGGAAAAAAAAGAAAAAGGTTGATCAAATATGCCCATCATGGTTAATATTTTATTCCTAGCAAAATCTGGCAATTCATTTTAAAACCGAAGGTCCTTTAGTAGAACCAACTCATGCAGTCAGTTGCCAGTGACCTGACTTGACACCACAGTCCCCATGCTATTGATAGTATGCTTCTTGTTGAGTAAGCCTTTTTAAGTATTTCAGACTACATGATTATTGGAAATGATTATCACAAATAGTCAAAGTAAGTTTGAGGGAGATCAAGAATGCTATCTCAAAAATTCTTTGTCTAGCCTCAGAGTTCTGTAGGCATTAAAACAATACAAGATTGTCTCCCCTCCCCATTGTTTGTAATGAATATAAATTGTAAAAAAAAGACTAGAGAGGAGACCCACTTAGCCCATCAAGTGAAAACATTGTTTGCATGGTTTAAAATCAAATTCTTAATGCTGAAACAGATATTTAATATGCAATTGTTTTCTTCTCAGACCCTGAAAAAAATTTGTTTTTACACACCAGATATAAAAGAGACGTTTAAAAGGACTTCTAAATGCAGATACGTGTAAATATATTTAAGAGCCTCAGAAAAATGTTAAATACAGTACAAACAAAACAATGCACACTTAAAAACTCCCTCTGTGTTTACCCTGCCTTTAGGAAAATGTCTTAGTCAAATTGCATTCCATGATTAAAACTGAATCAAGACTGTCACAGATTTCCCTAGGCACAGTGACAACCACTTTTTTTTTTCAATCAGTCACCTTCCCCCCCCATATTTAAAATCATCAGAAAGTTAAAGCATGACCAAACACGGAAGACAAAAAAGTAAACAATTTAAATGTAAAGCCAGAGACCACAAAAATAACTTTGTCACACTCTTCCCTCTCCTCTCAGGATGACCAACTGAACCAGTGTCATATACTAAACTTCTATTGAACTTTTCCAAGGAATGATGGAGTAGGGACCAGAACAAATTGAACAATGGAATACTTACAGGGTCAAGGTAGAATTATTCAGTGTACTAAAACTAAGGGCCACGATGCTAAGAATACATCTATCCTAGACTAGCTGACTAATCTTGTAGGCTTTTAAGTGTGAACTCACTGGGCAGGGACCCATTCTAACTCTTGTGCTCTTTCCAATACTGGTAGTTTATTTATAGCAAAAACTGATGATAAAAACCACTGGAGTGTCCTTAACAAAATGGTACAGCTGTTTAAAAGAAGGAGGGTGGGAAATGTCCTCCATAGCAGATTTCAAGTTAGTTTGCACATAAGGAAACTGCTGTAGTCAGCAGCTCGACCTTTATCAGGGGATAAATCAATTTGCAGCAGCTGTGGACAGCCATTTAAGTCCAGGGCCTGAACAGATTAATTAAGGGAAGCGATGTTAAAAATTAAAAGGGTCAGAGTTATATTAAGTACATGAAGTTTGGCTAGAGCAGCTTTTCTTCCCCCCCTTTCAATCCTACCCCTTCCTCTCCCCTCCGCGCTTCATCTCCCCAGGAATGCATTCCGAGGCTTACAGGGCACCCCGCCAGCCCCGATCCTGGACGTACATACCCTTTGCCCTAACGTTTTTTCAGATTTCTTCCCCAAAAGAAACCAGACTGAGACTTGCTTAAGTTATACCCGCCCCCCAAAGGAATCTGAGGCAAATACTCATCGGACCGATTTGACAATAAGATGAGTATAGCAAGCAGAATAAGAAAAGGTTTCTGTCGCCTGGGTTTTGCCCTCCTCCCATTCCCTCCCCGCCCAGTCTCTTTTCATCTCCCTGCCCCCAACACCAAAGTGGTAACAACTTCTCTGGCAAGGTGTTCCTGGACTGACCGGTTTGGGAAAGAGTTGTAGGATGGTTATTTTTAGTATAGCAGTCGTGGAGCAAATCCTACCTCCAGGGATACCAACACATGGGCTATGTATCCTTCCCAAGGTCTGTCCGGTTTCTAAATGCAAAACTTGACTCGCTTCAGCCCAGGGAAGAGCATAGGAAGCTGCTCGGGACCTGAAATCTAGTCTCACTCGAATGTGGCATCCCCCCTTTTCACCCCACCCGGTCAGTCCCGCAGGAAGGACGGTTAAGGGGATGTTACCAGGCTCCCTTTCTAAACTCTTTGCTAAGAGCAGCAGACCAGCAAAGGACACTGCCTGAAGAACGCAGGGAGGGGAAAACATAACTATTTGACCAATGCCCTCTTCCCCGGGTCGCTTTCTGAACCGTACAACCCCTGGAGGTCTGCGGCGTGGGTAGACCAGAGCGCCCTTCGGTAAGGGGTCGAGGGACTCGACCTAGACTAGCAGGGCAGCTTCTCTCCGTTTTCTACTTGCTCTGTTCTGCAGGGATAACTCAAATGTCAGAGACCTTTTATACTTGAGAGATGCGGCAAACTGACTTATCCCACAACTGCTAAGTGAAATATGCAAAAAGGAGTGGGGAGTGGAACGAAAGGAGCAGGCGGAAGGGAGTTGGGTGGGAAGGGAAGCTGAACCTGAGGTCTCTGCCCCCGTTTTACACTGTGTAGAGACTGGGCAAACCCATCCGGCACACAGACCTTTTCTCACGACGATGCAACAGGGAAATGTCAACAGCATCTCGTGCGGGGTTGTCACACTACCTATAGTGTTGTTTGGTGTTTTTTTTTTTGCCATTAAGAAAAAAAAAAGGCAAAGGGCCCCTCATATACACAAAGTTATAAAGTCATTTGAAAGTGTTTCAGTATTGACAAAATTTTCCTAACCCCAAAGTACATACTATAAACAGCTGAAACATCAAAGTTGAAGATTTTGCTTCGCTTATTTTTTTTAAAGTCTTGAATAATAATTTTAAGACATGAGATAATCGTCTGGAATGGACTAAAATATTAGCCCTTTTTTTCAATCTGCCAAATATAAATTAGGGTACAGTATTTTTTAAAAAGTGTTTGTTTTGTTCTCCCCTTTTAGAAACATTTGTTCCCCTTGATCAGAGTGTAATTTGGGGCAGTAATTACAAAAAAATGTTTCCAATAGTTTCATAAAATATTCTTCACACGTAATATTTTGCTGACTCGCGAAGTTGATAATGGTAGCTTTCCCCCCCACCAATTGGCGAGGTTCTACATGAAAGCCTGTGATTCTAGGATTATTCTCATCTCTCCTCTCTGCTATGCTTCTCCAACCACCCTAGGCATCCCAGTCCTTGCATCGCCTCAGCTAAATAATCCAACCCGCAGACGGAGAGGGGACAAATAAAACATTAGGGTTATCATAGTAGTAAGAATAATAGCAGTTCCATCCACCCAACCAACCCGCCTACCTGCCTGTCCTTTCATTCGGTCCAGATCCCCAGGTTGCGAGATACCCTCCCCTGCTGGGTTCTCCCGAGTCCCTTCTCGGCTCCCAGAGCCTTGCTTCTGGCGTATGTACTTACACTGCAAAGGGCCGGAGATTCCCACCATTCGCCACAGGCTGTGTGCTGCAAATAAAACTTCCCGTCCTTCCCAGGCGGAGACGCGGATAGCCCAGACTGCAGGAGGGGAGAGGGAGAGAGGAATGCAATGCAGCTTCCTTTGCCAGTCCAGAGTATGTATCCACGTCCATACACGTACACGTCCACACACACACACACACACACACACACACACACACACACACACACACACACACACACGTCAAAAGCAAACGAACCCAGGGAAGAACTCCAGCTGTTTGGAGCTCAGTAGCAGCACCAGCTTAGAGATTTCTGGTACAAAAAAGGAAAGGGAAGAGGACGAAGAGCGAAACAAAGTCTCCACGTAGAACTAATTACTGCGGGAGATCCTCCACCCCACCCCCCACCTCCTTTTCGTTGTTGTTGCTGCAGACAAATGTGATATGGTTGGAGTGCAGGGAACTGCTACTGTCACAGGCGTTTCTCTCTCTCTCTCTCTCTCTCTCTCTCTCTCTCTCTCTCTCTCTCTCTCTCTCTCTCTCCCCTCCTCTCTCTTACTCCTCTCTCTCCTTCTTTCTCTCCCCCTCTCTTTTTCTCCTCCTCTCCCTCTCCTCTCACTCTCTAGGAAGGCGATGTATATATTTGCAGAGCTGCCTTGCGTCTGCCTCGGAGAAGGAGCTCCATGCAATCTGCGCGGCTCTGCCCGCAGAAGGCTCCCACGTATCAGTCTGGCTCCCTCTGCTCGCAGCCACCTCTCAAGTCAAACAACATACTGCCAGCAGTCGGCCCCGGCTCCGCTACCCAGGTGCAGGGTGGGGGAGGGCTTCAAGCAGTGGGAGGTGATAGAGGTAGGAGACATCTGTGTCGTGAGGAGGTCAGAGGGGTCAAGTATATGTTAACAATAGGAGAGCACAGTCTCTCGGGCAGTCTGCCTAGTCTTTCAGTCGTTCTCTCTCTTTTACAGGGTGGACATGGAACTTGCCTCCCTAATGATGCCTTCCCCAGGCTGCCTGCCTGCGTTAGGAGTCCAGACTGCCCTGCAGTAACCCAAGACGAACACTTTCTCTAGCCATCTGGAGAGCTCCTGGCTTCTCTGCCTGTATCTCATCACTGTCTGAAGAGACAGCACTGCTAGAAATCAAGCCACTCTCAGATCTACTCTCTAATCCCCTTCTGTTAGCTGATTTTCAGTCTGACTGACTATTTGCTTTCGCATTAGATAATAGCCTTAGAGAAAACAATTATCATTTTCTTCCCCCCACCCTTATTTTTCCACTTCTCCTACAATACTCCATTAAGGAAGGCCTCTTTTTTTATGTAATTTTTTTTTAAAGAGAAGAATATCAGGATACTTTGGGGAAGCCCCCCTCCCCAAGAAGCTAGGAGGAAAAGAATTCCAGACATTTCGAGTATCAATTAATAAACACCAAGCAAAAAATACTCGAGTAATTAACATTAATATGTGGGTCAGATATAATCAGATAATGGCTTGCAATGATCTAGTACAATGAAATTCATTTTAATATAGTATGACAGAAATAACTGGAAATAATATTTTATTGAAAGCAAAATTGGAAATCTTATTTTGGGTTATCTTATTCCTGACAGAGCTTAAACTTGTAACTTATATTGGTACAAAAATGAAAAAAAATTTCTTCTTGTGCTCTTTACTGATATGGTTGTAAATGAAAAATTGCCTAAGATAAACTCAGAGACTCATAAGTAGAGAGCACAAAAAAAATAAAGTATGAAGAAAAATTGATATCGGTTTTTTGTGTAACTAATTTAAAAACCGGTTCCCTAAATACTTAATGCTCTGGGGGAAAAAAAAAAAAAACCTGCCTCCTTCCTTTCAAATAATACAGCTTAACAGTTCTCCAGCATTTATAGGCTGTAATAATTTTTAGCAATTCATTTACAGAAAACAATCATTGTGCATTCTGCCCTCTCCTAGGGACATCTGACTAATGAATTGTAATGGACTAATGAATTGTAATGTTAAATCCTGGTATCTGATATTATGATGCTTTTCAATTTGAATATCAGATTTTTTTTTCTAGTTGCAAAAGCCATAGCAATTTCTGAATTAAGTAATGTCTTTATATTCAAATATTCCTTTACTTCAAAGGTATTTGCATAGTCTGAACAGCAGAAGAATTTAAAATGGTAAAGTTCTAAATTATGTGCATTACAATAATGTCTACTGTGTTGGAAGACACTATTGTAATGCAATATGATGTCAATCCTCACTGCTGTTCACAGCTTAAGGAATCAAAAGTTAATTCAAACTTCCAACCTTTTTTCACTGCCATCTTCCCAGAAAGTTAATGAAATTAGTATGGTACATAGAATACACATGCTTATTTCAAATGATTGAAATAATATCTGGATAATAAATATATTTGTTAAAAATGTAATATTTTTAAAGTGCTTTTTAAAGTTAGAATACTAGGCACTTAAAATTTAAAAAATAAATTCATCATGTAAAAAATTCTGAAATATGCACATTAAACTTGATTTCAATTTAGGTAAATTTTGATGCTAGGATTGTACCATTATAACAGAAACTTCAAATTTTAAAATACATTATTGAAAAATTATTTGGAAAAATCAAAAGTTTTAAGTTAATACTATATTCAATGCCAAGAAATGTTTTTGTTACATTTAATGGTTATAAAAATACTCTGTTTTGCTGGTCATACTTCTGAAAAAAATAATAAACAGGGTTTTTTTCCCCCTCCCTGTTTTATAGCCTTTCAAAAAAGTATATATACTTTTCTATATTCTACCTTGCTTTGAATCAGGCCAAAATAGTTCACCTCATCTGAGATCCTTATGTGCAAGGGTAGGAAAATGTGCTTTTAATTGATAAAAGAAAATTCAGCATATTTCTCAGAATAATCATTGCCCTCCCTCCTCCCCCCATATATGCTTCTCTTTACATTAAATCTTTCTGGTTCTCAATGTATGGAATTCCTTTCATTTACCCAACATTTACTACACTTTACAGGAAATTTCTCAGAGATGCTTAGGACACTGCTTCCTATACAGTTGTAAGTGAGTGCTTAGTGCCTTCTTTAGAGTTGCATAGTTTACCTATAACAATTTCATGGAGAGGGATTCCTATACAAGATGTTAATAAGTACTTAACACTTTTAGAGATGTCTTCTAGGCAATGTCAGCTCGAACTAGCATTGAGGTGTGAGCTGTCATAATCTGCCCCTTGAGAAAGCTCTGTTGGTTGCCTAGAATGAGAAAAGGCCTCAATTAACACTTTATTCAGCTCTTACAAATATGATTTATTATTGTTGCTGAAATTAAAGAATGACAAGCCATATCCTGGGAAACTGTATTCATTTCTCCTATATTACACTCTTCTACAATAGGTATACTCCACCTAATGTCCTCACTTGGTTCTGCAAAAATATAATGTTAAACAAAAGAGTTTTCCATGGTCAGTTATTTATAATAGTTATAAATTATAACAAATTAGTTATAGAAGTAAATTATAACAGTTATAGATGTTATAAATAGATGTTTGGTTGGATAACATAGCAAGGTTTCCCCTTGTTAGACTGAATTTGATTATAATGAATTGACAGCATTCGTTAGAAATGACAAATGGGTCAGGTTAATATTTGCTGCAAATGGTCATATTTTCCACCCTCCATCCTGATCCTCAAATGTGTTTTTTTTTTCAGGATTTAATTTTCTAAAATTACTCTAAGAAATTTTAATGCTTAAAGTTACTTACTCTAATTTAGAAATAAAGTGACAAACTCAAAAACAGGTGGAAAAATTTTATGAATTCTAAAACTATCTCAATCTGTAAACTAGATTTTATGCATGGTACAAGTGATATAGAATAAAATTTAACAAGCATCAAAGTGTATCCTAAATGCTTAAGAATGTAATCAAATTAAACAGGAATTTGAATTTGTAAATATTAACTTCCCCTAAAGTTGACAATCATTATTGCCATCCAGACACTGAGCTATCGGGAGTGATTTAGCTGTAGTCAGTCCTTCTGAGACCTTTTTTCCACTCTGAGTCTATGAGAATTGGTTGCATGTGTGTGCTAATGTGATCTGATTTTAAAAAACAATATACAAACAACAACAACAACAAAAAACAGATGAAAACTCACACTTTTTTTTAATCAATAAATTAGAAAGAGAATTTATGTGGCAAAATGATTGTTTTATCAAAGTATCCATTGTTGTGTTCCTCTAAATAGTAAGCTACCCTAGTGGATACAAATATGATTGTTTGGTCAAAGTTCATTTACACTCAATTTTTCAGGATCACATCTAATATAAATAATGAAATGTGTCTCTATTTCACACATATAGATGTATAATATACAGAAACAGCTTAGCAACTATCTCATGTGCCCTTTTAGAACAGTTGCATGTGACTCTCAAGAGAACATCTTCCTATCTTGCTGATTGTTCTCAACGTTATACTGAATGCCTTTCTCCCCCTCCTCCTCCTTCTTTGCTTTTTATTTGAAATAATCGATATTCTATGTATTTCATAGTCTGTGCTTCTTGAAACTATCTTTGCATAGATTTCTCTCCCATTCTTCTTCTTTTTGCCAAGTATAATGAGGTACTTTTAAGTCACTAGAAATGTTTCATACTGCCAAGACAATGGGGTGAAAAGAAGGAAAAAATCATCGGCCAGTCATCCAGATGTTTTGTCTACAAGAGGACAAATGACACCAGTTTGACTGTAGGATTTTGTTTTTAATTGAACTGCCTAGTTCTCTGACTCAACTATTTGCAGTCTGAGTTTTCAACGTGACCAAGATTTTAAATGAATGATGAAGCTATGATCAGTGATCAGCGTGAGCATGGTTCAAATGGTACACAGGAAATGGAAAAGGTATGCGAATCTGTGTATTTCAAGCTGTTGATAAAATCAATTTCATTTCTTTGCTTAGTATTACACTCACTTTGAATGAATAAGCTACCAGCCACAAGCAATTTGGTAAAATTCTATGCAAATGAACTTTAGATGAATGGACAACTGTTTATTAGTTGAAGTAATTTTAATTTGCATATTGCGTGGTTATTTTTTTCCCTTCATCTAACTCTATGGGATAACAGCACTGCCACTTCAAAAAGGGG